TTTGCCGTGTTCACAGGGTTTCTGTGTTCTTTACCTTACCTTTGCCGTGTTCACAGGGTTTCTGTGTTCTTTGCTTTGCCTTTACCTTGTTCGCATGGTTTATGTGATCTACCGACCAACCGGCTGCACTTGGATTTGGTGTTGCCACCGACAGACCGAAATGATTAACTTCGATGTGGCCTTTGCTCCACATGTGGCCCACTATGCAGTGGTCCCACGTGAGGGGCATGTTGAAGTGGATCGACATTCTATTAAGAAGAAGCTTGATGCAGAAATATTAATATCGACAGTCTCTCTCTTGGCAAGTTGGTCATTGATGACATCTATACACAACTTGATGGGGAGTGTTAGCTAAAGCTATGTTTCCTTGTTTTATGGGAACATTGTTTCCTTGTTTCATGAAACCTTGTTTTCTTGTTTGTAGTTGTAGGACTTGTATAAATATGTTGTAATCAATAAAAACTGATACAAGTTGAAAACCCAGAAAATTATCTTCTCTCATTTTCATATTCTCTTATATTTTCATATTCTAACTTCTCATGTTTTAGCAAGATTTGATTGTTGGAGGTCCATCGCTTCGTCTGAATGATTTGAGAGTGGTCAATTGTAGTGATATAGAAAGAGTTGATATTTCTCTAGTAAAGGTTGCTTACTTGGAGCTCGTAACTGGACGTCCAAATCTGCATCTTTCCATCAAACCTCCACATCCAGCAAGAATTTATTATGATGCGTTCGATTTCAATGAATTCTGGGATACACTAACCCAATTTGGATCTTTTGTTGGGCTTGAGACTCTTGGTATGATGGTGGTTACAGGGGTGAGTGAAGATTTGTTTCTAGTCAACTTTCTGAAGCATGCCAACTAATATTGTTTGCAAAATTTAACTTTTAGACGGTTGGTGTTTATGTGCAGCAGATTCCCCAAAACTTGCCAGTGTTTAGAGACCTTAAGAAACTGGACCTGCGTCTTTTTTATGGGGCTGACCTCGTTGGGCCTCTGAATCTTCTCAATGCTGCACCTCGTTTGGAAGAACTTGTAGTAACGGTTAGTAATTAAAAGTTTATACTTTCTATATATGCAAAATCAGTTGTTATATATGTCATTCAACCAAATTAGATGATGTCCATTACATGAGAGATTTCTTTTATGTTATTGCAGTTATTGGTTGAGAATTTCTGTGAGAACCAACAACAACAGATAGAGAGTTTTTCTGCTGTCAAACATGATCGTTTGAGAAAAGTTAAGTTGCAGGCATTTCGAAGCACACCGTGCGAGATAGAGTTTGTCATTTCTATTTTGCAAATTACAACAAAGCTCGAGATCATGGAAATCGATCCGTTTGGGTGGTGGAGCGTGGTGGGACGCCCTGGGCGTAAATGTTGCATATCTATCAAATTCATATTGGGAAGAAAAAGGCAGGTCACTTATCCAAGAGAAACTAAAGGAAGTAAAGACCGATGCTCAAATTATAGTTCTCTAAATTTGGGCTTTACATATGTATTTGATTATGCCAGTTTTTTTTTTTTTTTTTTTTTCATTATGGATCAAATTATAATTTCATTATGCTATCAATTTAATTAGGCCAATTCTGAAATATCAATATATAAATATGTTGTAATCGTGCCATTATAAATTTAATGTTGATAATTACGAGATGGTGCAAGTTACTAGATAGTATATACAAGTATCAGAAATTTTATGAGATTGGTTGGTTGGGATTTTATACCCAAAAAAAAAAAAAAGTCACTAGATGTTACAATAATTCATCTATAACGACTACTCTCAGTACCAAAACCTCAATAATATTTTTGTGCAATGAAATAATATCCTATTTTTCAGAAAGCTCAAATTCAAAATCAAAGCTCTAATATTTCTACAGATGATGACGTATAACTCCAAATTCCACTTGAATAGAAATTTAAAGCTGTGGAAAAGAGTTTAAGGGCAAACACCAAAACAGCTAATCAAGTACCCAAACACTCACTTTCTATTTAAAGCGTATAGCCGCGCGGCTATACTACGAAAATATTCTATTTAAAGGGAATAGCCGATCGGCTATACTGTTATAAGTTTCTATTTATAGAGTTCAAAAGGTGTAGCCGCGCGGCTATACTTTTATAATATTCTATTCAAAGAGTAGCCGTGCGGCGATACTCTTTAAATATAGCAATAAATATAAAGTATCGAGTGAACAGTGATCTGGATAGAGTAATGACTAAATAGCCAAATGTTGTAGTTATCTTGTTTTGGGACTTGCCCCCCCTATTTATAGACTTTAGGAGGGTGCATCTTGAGTGGGATTTCGATGTGGGACTATGGGCATCGCCTGAGGAGGCATCACATGTCCTTGTGAGAAATCTATAATAAAGTGTGGTCTTTTGCCACGATAGGCAGCCCATGGTGTTGAAGGCTAAAAACCTTCTGATGTTACTCGGTGGGACGAGATAGATTGTCGGACTTAGTGGGTCCTTCTCGTGAGTCCTCATTCCACGTGTCGTTCTCTGATTGGCTGGTCAAATATGGTATAAACAACCACAAACCTATAGACTTTCGAAATTCTGTAACCAAAGTCAAACCCTAATCAATTTCTTGGCAAAGAAGAAATCAATTGAATCTCTAAAGAACTTGCACGTAAATTGGTGCAATGGGTAGAAACAAAAAGCCAAAATGAGGGTGCTATGAAATCCCTACCAGCAGAATTCTTCAACTTTGTATTTCGTATCTTTACTTGGCTTCTTGGAATCTCTAAAGATGAAAGGCAGAGTAGATGTTGGGACTGGAAGCGGGTTCAATATTCACGGCTGCGGTTTTTTCGTTTCTTTTTTGGTTGAAAACGGTTGCCGTAGTCTTATGGTGTGTTTGTGTTTGTAGCATAAATTTGCTTTTGCTGTTATTTTGAGGCCTCTACGTTATTGGGCCCAATAATCTACTTCTCCAATAATAAATTTCATAGAACCCAAAACTAATTTAAGGACACCCAATATCCATATATATTTTTTTTTCCAAACCAAACCAAATCAAATCTTTTTAATTATATTTTTTATGCAGATGATATTGGGGATGAGGTTTTTCTCGCACACATTGCAAAGGTCACATGAGGGTTCAAACTTGAGACCACTGGTATGCAAGTCAAGACCCTTTTCTACTAGGGTAAACCATTATTTTTATAATGATCTTTGTTTGTTGAACTATAATTCTCTTTTTACAACAATTAGCTGTCTCAATCTTGTTAGAAATGTGAAAAGTTCCTATAGATTATAATTATATATATTTTCTGAATCCCTGAATATAGGTTGAAGTGGCTCCTTCAATATTGCCACAACTTGTCAATCAATGCTATGAAATAACTTCTTTAAAAATAAAAAATAAAAAAATCATTGGGGAATAAAACAAAATGATATTCTTTCGATTTCGTGTTGGTATAATATAAGTGGGTGGAAGACTCAAGACTTCCATGAATTGATTCCATTTCTTGAAAACGACATTGAAATAAATGGCTTTGGCTACCCAGAGTCCTGCTCTGCTCCCCATTTACTCTTTCTATTCCCAAAAGCATATAAACAAACGAGAGCGTAAAAGTAATTATTCGCACTTATGATTTTTATTTATTTCCACTTTGCTTTACAGATTGAAATTATGATGCTTAAAGATACCAAAACCAAAAGCTTGGGAGGAATTGAGTGCATGCAGAATGCAGATGGCTTGACAAGAAGATCACATGTTCGCATGGGCCTGCAGCCAGAAAGCAATGGCTGGAAGATGATGGGGCCACTCTAATATGGGGCATTAATGCTGCCACTTATGGAGGTCTAGTGCCCTGAAGGTAGGAGTACATGCTGACCTTCCTGGGCCTGCATGATGGAGATTGGAGAGAAAAAAAAAATGAAGTTGGAAGAGATGGAGGGGCATTGAAAATTTGAAATATGGAGACAGCTTTCGCAATGGCTCCTTCAATAATATAAGAGAAGAAAGCTAACAAGTCCATTTCAACAAACATTCGTATACATATAGCAAATGAAAGCACAGCTACTAAGCTTGTGACATTTTTCTATTTGCGGGAAGGTGGAAACTTCTGGAACTAAAACGTTATTGTAAGGAGTTATTTTCCCTTTTTCCTAGACAAATTACAGTGTGACATTTGAAACCTAGGAAGTTATGAGATAGAGTGAAATCTAAAAATCCGATTGAGGAGTGTGTTTGAAACAAACAGTCACTTACGCATGCGTTGGTGACTCTCGACTATTGATGCAAGTGTGTATGAGCAATGGTCAAATGACAAAATCCAAATCCGATTTGATTAAGCTTGAGTAGTCAGCTCTTTTAGGTGGTAAGCACAATCTGATTTTCTTCATTCCATGTAGAAAGTGAAGATTTGATTAAAAAGCCGTAGACAGTGGCAATCATACTCTTATCATAAGCACCTTCAATGACAAATCTTGAAGAGACCAAAAAATAGAATATAAGCACCTTGAATAAAGTGCCTTCAAGTGTACTAAAAAAGAGTCATCATAATGATACATAGAGATTGAACATAATAAAATAATGGATCTCTCTCTCTCTCTCTCAGTCTCCCTCCCTGCTTGCAAATCGGGAAATGGCAGAAAGTATTTTCTTCATCATGGTACAGAATTACAGAAACACCCTTTGGCTTTGGCTTTGGCTTCATGATAAAGACTCCCGTCTGGTTCTGTTGGGTTGATAAATGGCCTGCACCAACCAATAGATTGAACAGATGATCTCGTGGGAATGGCAGCTTTGGGTTGCTTAGAGTTGGAGAGAGTAGGGAAAATGTATGAAGTGGAGCTGTAAAGCGACAGGACTCATTTTACAAGCAAAGAGGCCCCCAACCAATTCCACCGCACCTTTTTTTTTTCTTTCTTTCTTTCTTTTTTCTTTGCAGAGTTTTATTAGTAGGGTCTCAAGTGGGTTCATATTTGTATATGATTTCTTGGGTTCATTTAATTGTGTGAATAGTTTCAAAATTATTAGAATATAGCCAAAAAGAGTGTAGCTCAATTAAAAGGGTCTTGTCATGCACTTCTATGACACATTGGTAGAGTTTCTGTGAGAAATCTCATGCCCTGTACTCTAGACTATCGCTTGAATTTAAAAAAAAAGAAAAAGAATATAGATTAAATGTACAAGTTTACCAACCTACCACAATAACATTTTTAATTTAGAATTCTAACTACTACATGTTGGATGAATAGGTCCATATGTCGTACTCTTACACTAACCTCTCAATTCCCCCTCTCTTTTTTTTCTTTCTTATATCTCTAAAGACAAAAAAATTCATCTTGTCGCAACTATGGAAAGTGAAAACCAACCAAGTAAACACAAAAAAGAAAGGAAAAACTATTGAACAAGGTGATAAACAACTCACTACTTTTCCACATTGGGACAGCTTCACACTTTTAAAGTAGTTGAAAGATATAATTCAACAAATAACCCACATTTACTTTGAAGATCCACTTAACTTTATCATATCTCACTTTCAGCGACCAAATTCATTTTCACGATACCACATGAAATTAATTGAAAGCCGTATAGGACCATATGAGTCTTCAATTTTATTTTTTTTTCTTTCTCTTCTTCATCAACAAACTGCAAATCCTTAAAAGCATTTTCAACCGATATGTCAAAAGTGCCTCATAGACATTTAACAGCTAGAAATAACATCTCACACACTTCAACCGATGTGTCAAAGCTGATGTGGAATGAAGGCTGAAGATTGAGATGTTATTTTTGACATCCCAAAAGCAAGATGTCAAATGAATATATATATATTTTTTCTATTCTTTTAAATTAAAAATAAATCAACACTAAAATGTAATAAAATAATAATTTAATTTGACATATCGAGTGGAGTGTAAAGCTGTGTAAGATGTCAAATTGCCACATCAGCCATCAAATTTAAATTTGATGTTTGGTATTTGATATCTCCCTTAGAGATGCTCTAAGTCATTTTATAATCTTCCTCTTTCTATCGTTAACTCTTATGACTTGGATCTCTTCCGATATGCGTGCCCTCGGGTCTAAGTTCAGTTAGTTAGTTTATTTCCGCATAATTGATTCACTGTTTATGTAAGTGATAAATGAGTATTTCTTGAACTTAACATCTGTATAAACTTAATAATAAACCAAATTAATTATCAATCATCCAACTCCGAGATCTGATGAGCTTCTTAATACGTCCAAACCGACCAATATCGAGACTTCCCGCAAAATTGAATCTTAAATCTGAATTTTTTTCCATTAAAAAAAAAAGGTTCAAGATTCAAATTATTTTGTGAGGTGAATCCGAGGTGCATGTTTCCAAGAACCTTTATCCCAACATATTAAAATTAAAACTCATCTAATTAATCTTCCTCCTCTCCTGAAAGGCAAAGAGGATGTCCCTGTGGCTGAGGAGTCGTAAAATCTAACGTGGGAATAATCAATAATGACACGTGACACGTGGGCCCTACCCACCATGCAGACTTTTGCAGTTTCCACGTGAGTCAGAACACTACATGTCACATGATTAATGGACAGGATGGATGGGGACCAAGGAAGCCTTCGTATGAGAGCTTGCCACGTAACAGGCAGCTAGATCTGATCACGTGCACGTGGCTACTTTTCCCGTAAGTTTTCCCGTAGTAGTGGCCAGCCAAACTTCTCTTTTTGTATAAAACCAGGTTTCTTATCACGTTATCAGCTCATTAGAGAATTCTTATCAATGTTAATTAATTGTCTCTTTCCTCTCAATTTGAATTTTTATTGTTTTCTTAATAATTAATTCAAGTTTAAACTACTGATACAGTCACAAATCTCCATTCATGAATCATGAACCACGATTAGCGAGTCTTTTTTAAATTGAGTATCCCTCCAAAATTCAAATAGTTCTGAAAATAAGCATGCATGACAAATCCTAGTTTAAACCATAGTTAGTGAAGTTGAAAAAATACGTACCTGTTTTATTCAGTAAATTTTTTGAGTTCGGCCAATATATAATATTTTAATATAATATATTTTAAAATTTGTAATATACATTATTTTTATTCAATAATATATAAATAATACGTGTATAATAAGTGAATTTTGTTTTTATTATTGAAAATTTTGTATAAAAAAATACGTGTATTAAAGTGAATAATATGTATATACATATATAATACATGTACTATATGTTTGATTTTTAAAAACATGTATTTTATCGAGTTCATTAGATGTGTACGGAAAATTAGGTTTAAACTTGAAACCTTTTTAATAGAATATTGATTAGAGACTTAATTTAACCAAAATCCTGGCTCACGGGCAACTTCAACAACCAAAATGTTGGTTCCAAAAACATAATGAGCTTACTTAGAACTATATATATATATATATGTTTCAGGCGCCATGGCCATTTCTTGTTGAAAACCACATACATTGGGAGAGTTTGAAATTGTCCAATTCGGCGGATTAATTATAGGATATATGCAGATGGACATGGATGATGCTAAACCTAAACCATGGTCTGATTAAAAAGAAAAAACCCTAAACCATGGTATGAAAAATTAGAAAGTCAATATAAAACCTTAAACGGCAATCATTTGTGTAACAACAAACTCCAAGCTATATGTTTGCACGATGAGTTGTTCACACATAGTGTACATAATTATGATCACCACAAATACTTGAGATCTAGATGTGGGTTTATTAACTACTAATAGTTGCTAATTGATCCAATTGTTTTAGGCCGTTGTATTGGTCGTATTTTTATTGTTTAAGTCAACTAACACTACGTGGTTTAAAAACAAAGTAGGACAACATGCATTTACAAAAAATGTCAACGTGCTCCTACCAGTAAGTCAACTAAGCATCTACAATTATGCTCCCTAATTTTTAGTTAATATTCAGTTAAAAACACACAAAAGTTATTTGATGAGCTCTTTATAAAATTTGAACTCCAATCATACTCCTTAATTTAGGGAGTCATAAATACTATAATTATTTTGAATTCAATATGATTGGTCCATCTCTATAAAAAAAGAAGAAGTTAACATTAATTAAAAGTTTAGACTATATATATGTTTAAAACAATACATTATTAAATTATAGAGAGCTACTAAGAGTCTTTTCTCTCTCCTCAGATTTAGGAGCTCCTAGAGGTCTCTCTATTTTAGGGGGTGGATAGGGAGTTTGGTTGGAGTTGTATTTTTCCAATTCCTCCCTAAATTTTGTCTAATGAAGTGGTTTAAGTAGCCCATTGTTGATGTTCTTATGTCAAGAAATGCATGTATATATGTATTCTATAATGAATAGCTAAGACCTTCGCAGGAGCATAATCTATTTTCTAGTTAAATACATTACGAGATGTCTTTCCATATTTTCCGCATTCAGTTTTAGTTATTCATGCGTAGATTCATCCAATTTTGTTAATTAGTGCACACTTAGCTCTTTGTTATAGATCACTTGTAACTAATATTTTCATGTCAAATATGCATAACACATTGTGAATCAAAACGAAAGTCTCATACATTATTTCATCCATATATTTAGTTATCTTAATTCATAATTGTTTTTAATACAAGCGATAGTCTAAAGTAGAATGGGAGGGAGAGTTTCACACACACTATCAAGGTGCTAATGAGGTTCAAACCCAAAACTACTAGTCTGCAAGTCAATATCGTTTTCTGCTAAGTTAGACCTCATCGGCTCAATTCAAAGTACAGTTTAATAACATGCTATACACTCACTGATTACCATTTCATAGATGTACAAGTTTGTTGAGATAGTATCATCTAAATCAAAAGAAACCATTATATATGGACATGTCACAATGTGAAACGTGAACCTAATACCGCATTTTTCCCATGTGATTACCAGTGACGAGAACATGCCCGCTGTCTACATGGTCCTACTACCCAATATGTATAGAACTGAAAATAAATTGAGAGAGAAAGAAGAAATGCTCAAGGGTAGTATTGTCATTTATGGAACGGTGCTCATTTATAAAGGAAGGTCTGACAAGTACCGTTTGGTAATTTAGATTTAAGTACAGGGCAGTTAGTGAGTCTCCTCTCACTTCTGTTCAACGTCCCTTGCCTGCGAAGAAGAGTTTCTGGAGAGAGAGAGAGAGCAAAGCAAAGCAAAAGGATAAAGAAAGGAACAATACAAATGACAAGTTAAAAGAAAACACAGCACTCTGTTCTGATTCTCGTCCCCTATTCTACCTTAAATCTTGCACCTAAAGCTCACTTTCAAACCTGGTTCCTCTTCCATTTTCCAAGCACTTGGCCTTTGTCTGCTTCTGGGTTCTCTTCCATTTTGTCAATTAAGCCCATATTCTTCATGGGTTTTTCTTCAATAAGCTACTAGCTTTGGAAGTTGGAAGAGAATTGGGAGCAACATGTCTTGGAAAAGCAGAGGAGAGCCATCTTCTAGAAGTGTTATTTCAAAAAAATGGACCCTTTTGCTTTGTTTAGGCTGCTTCTGTGCTGGAATGCTCTTCACCAATAGGTATTCTCTCCAATTTTTAGTTTCACTTTGTACAAATTGTTGTTTGCTTTTGGATTTTTAATCAATCAGTTAATCTTTGCTTTTTCTGTTATGAATTTGAGCCAGTTTCCTAAAGTGGTAACTCAATTAAGACTGTTTATTGGTACCTTTCTATTTTTAGATCTATGATCAAATAGTCGTTTTTGGTTTTGATGCTAGACTTAGATATGTTCTACTTAGCTGGGTGTTTCTGAATTTTCAAGCCTTATGTATTTTGTTATTTTCAGCAACTTCTTGGAAAATATTTTGCTTAACTTTGACGCTGAAACATGTAGTTGTTGAGATATCATAACATTTTAATGAAAATTTATATATGGGTTGCAGGATGTGGACTGTTCCTGAAAATAAAGGTATCACACGGAGAACAGCTATGGAAGAAGAACAATTAAAATTAGTTTCAGAGGGTTGCAACCCAAAAGCTGTAATGTCTCATCTCTTACTTGATTTCATATCCTTGCGAGATTTTTTTACAAGCTGTTCTATCAGAAATTCTTTCTTTACCTATATTGGATTGTTATACCATGTTCCTCATCTAAAACTTTCTTCTGTGTCAATCTGATTTGGTACTTTTAGTTGCATCAGAAGGAAGTAAAGCGCGAAAATAAGGACATTTTTGGGGAGGTTTCTAAGACTCATAATGCTATACAGTAAGTTGTGCTCTCACACAAACACATGATATTATGTAACTTTGGTTTCTAAGTATCCTAATTGGAAACTATTCTTGGATGTTATGTTGAATTAGGACATTAGATAAGACTATATCAAATTTAGAGATGGAATTAGCTGCGGCAAGGGCAACACAGGAGTCTATACGTAGCGGCTCTCCTCTATCAGGAGACTCGAAGACCACTGATTCATCCGGGAAGAGAAGGTATTTAATGGTTGTTGGAATTAATACTGCTTTTAGCAGCCGTAAAAGAAGAGATTCGGTTCGTGCTACATGGATGCCACAAGGTAATTTATAAATCAATTTCCTAATTTCTTCATTGCTGTTCTGTAATGGATTTTAGCTATGCTATTCTGGCTGCTTGTTTATAGTTGTTGTCTGATTATTTTTGCTTCTGAAAAACATGAAACATAGGCGAGAAAAGAAAAAGGCTAGAGGAAGAGAAGGGTATCATCATTCGTTTCGTCATTGGTCATAGGTGAGTGTTTAATCTTTTTTCTTGCTAGTTAATGTTGGATAGGAAGACACTATGCCATTGATCTGCTAGGCTGCAAGTCAGTAGAATACTTGTTCATCAACGCATCGGTTGCCATTCGGTTGTAGCTGATGTAAGCCAAGAATTCCTTGGTTCCCCGTTTACAATCTCATGCAATTCCCTATCATTGACACTCTATTTTCATGAAAAGTGTGAACTTTTTTTGAGTAGGTCCTTTTGAGATGTATTCATGCAATCATAAACCAAAATATATTTGTATATATTAAAATAAATTTCAAGCCTTCATAGTAGGTTCAACTTAATAACCATCACAAAAGTCCTAGGTCATGGATTTATTTGGATAGTATAATTTTACAAGCTTTTCCCCTCCTTGTCTAGTGCCACGTCCGGAGGTATTCTAGACAGAGCTGTAGAAGCAGAGGACAGAAAGCATGGAGATCTCCTGAGGCTGGTAATGTCTCTTCGTTAATCTTGTTATTGTCCCCTAGTTTCCACATGTATGCTTACAGCTTATTTGAACATAAAATTTTCATTATTTTGATTCCGAGAGAATAGATTGTGACTTCCTATGTATGTCTCTTGCGCAGGACCATGTTGAAGGGTACCTTGAATTGTCCGCCAAGACAAAGATATATTTTGCTACTGCTGTTGCTACGTGGGATGCAGATTTTTATGTCAAAGTTGATGATGATGTCCACGTAAATATAGGTAATTTAAAATTGTGCTGAACATGACAAATAGATTTTCTACGGTACCTTTGTGCGCAATGACATAAAAACTAAAAGAAATAAGAAACATATGGATACAAGGTTTACGGAATTGGTAGTTTATGCAAATTGACTCTATGTTCTTTTAAGTGTGAAAGATCTTATCGGAGAGCCAACTTCAGCGTACCTAGTATTTTTAGAGCAATTCATGAACTTTCATGTCTATATTATCTAATCATCTATCTCATTAAACCCATCTGTTTTCAATTTGCTGCAGCGACACTAGGAGAAACTCTAGTCAGACACCGAAAGAAACAGCGCCTGTACATTGGATGCATGAAATCTGGTCCTGTTCTAGCACAGAAGTAAGCCAGCACCTGTAATTGGTTTTTTTCTTTTTCTTTTGTTTCCTCTGATGTTCAGATATTTGTTAAGAAAGTAATTGACTTTGAGTCCTTGCCTGACTATTTGGTGATACAGGGGAGTGAGATACCATGAACCTGAGTATTGGAAATTTGGTGAACCTGGAAACAAGTATTTCCGTCATGCTACAGGACAGCTATATGCCATTTCAAAAGATTTGGCTACGTATATATCAATAAACCAGTAAGCTTCAACCTTTATGCACCGATAGATCTTCTTGCACTTGTGATGCTAATTTTGTATGCATTTTTCAGGCATGTCCTACACAGGTACGCTAACGAGGATGTCTCTTTGGGAGCTTGGTTTATTGGACTTGATGTGCAGCATATCGATGATAGGAGACTGTGTTGTGGCACCCCACCTGGTAAGTCTTGTCTAATTCAAAATTATTAAGTTGGTAACTTAGGAATGATTTGAAAAGCAAATGGCCTTGTTTGGGCGCAATAACTTGTCTTGCTGAAGAATACTGTTTCAGATCTTGCACAAGCAGGGTGAATTCCACTTTAAGTAATATTCTTTATGACAGATTTATTTGACAAAAATCAAAATTAGATATAATATTATCTGCTCACTTTCTAGAGGGTAAAAAACAGGTCAAATACAGTCATGTAAGTAATTTACTATAATACTGTGGAGGTACTGGAACCATAATAATGGAACCAAGACTGTGTTACCCCTTAGTGGACCCCATGGTCAGTGGTGAGGTTTCAGATTCTTCATAAGCAGAATAAGTTCACAAGAATCTATAAATTTGGGTGTAAAAATAAGGTCACAAATTTGTTTCATTTTACAGTTATTTAAAGTTTTAGTTCAACTTGTTTGCTGCAGATTGTGAGTGGAAGGCCCAGGCAGGCAACATCTGTGTAGCTTCATTTGATTGGAGTTGCAGCGGGATTTGTAGGTCAGCTGAGAGAATCAAGGAAGTCCATCGACGGTGCGGGGAAGGTGAGAACGCTTTGTGGAGTGCTTCTTTCTAAGAGGAAGAGGCAGCTTGGAGCTCTTCCAACCTCAGGAAGATTTTTCAGCTTCAGTATAAAGGCAGGTGTGCTAGTCTTTTTTTCTTTTTTTTTCCAGTTTCTGTACTGAGTATAGAGAATTACAATATCAAATAGAGAGATTAGAGAGAGAGTGTGTGAGTGTGTGAGTGAGAGAAAGAGAGAGAGAGAGAAGAGCCTTGCTATGATTACCATCTTCCATTTTAATAGAGGATATTGGCCACTGAAGCAGCCAAAGTAGGGCCCCCATACAAAATTCTTTGAGGCTTGAAGAGCCAACTTGTAAGTTACAGTTCTATGGCATCAAATGCACAATAAATGCATATCTTTGTGGGAGCTGTTTCTGCCTTTCTTGTACAATCTTGTTTCCTCTGTATGAAATTAAGAATTTGAATTATATGATATGATGAACGTATTATTTTGAATTCATCTCTTTCCCAGTTTTCTTGTGACTCATCTGACAGTCTGTGGCTCCACCGCCCTTGTTTTGAGTTTGTAACTCCTGTTGTCAGTCAAACATTCAAATAAAACCAACAGGACACATCAAGGACTAATCTGACATTTTCTTTTTCTTTTCCAGTATGAAAAAGAATCTTAAGAAGTAACTGGGCTTAATTAACTTTTAAGTTGCTGCATGGATGAAACTTTGAAATGTTGCTTTCATGCTACTTTGAATCTTTGATATGCTCAAATTGACAGTTTCAAGTTATCTTTTTCTATAAAGACTAAAGAGAGAAAAAAAGATCAAACTTTCCTTCGATGGTAATTAAGAAAAGTCAAATAAAAAATGAAAATGACTTCATTTACATTATTAGAATATTTGCAAGGATTTTACGGTATGGGAACTCTCAGCTGTATCTTCCACCAAAAAAGAAAAAAAAGGCACAACTCCATTAGCTTCATTAGATAGAAAATCCTTAGGACATTGTCCAAAGTACAAAGATAGTTTTTATCAGGAAATTTTAACCCAAAGGGAAAAGCATAGAAAACTTCACCACAGCAGGTTGTGCCTTTCTTTTACTTCTTAGGATGCAGAATAATATGAGTTGCAGTAATCTCAATATCCAGAAGTAGCACACAAGATCATTTTGATAACCCTTAGATATGAATATAAGAGAAGGCCATTATGAAGAAAACAGCACATGATTCAAAATACCTAAACTTCTGTGGTTAAAGGTATGTGCGAAAACTCAACAAAATTTGTCTACATGCAATAAAATGGTCAAATGTTTGCTGTTAAAACCAGCAATCAGATGTCTAAAAATTACTGCAGGCCACTGAGTGAGAGAAACTTTACCAAACAAAATGCAATAACCAGAAATGAAAATTCTAGGCCAGAAATGAGAAAGTGAATATATACCTTGAAATCCTGGATGACGGGGCAGCAAGGTAGAATAATAAAGGAACAGTGGCACGTGATATTGGCACGGCTCAATCAAAAAGCAGAGCTCAAGCACTTAGAGCACTACTTTCTTATTGAACCGGACCAATATCCCGTTAAACCGATCCATCTCTTACCTCTTTGGCTTCCTTGTATCTTTTCAGAAACTATGCTACAAAACAAACAAACCCTTTTCATCTTTACACAAACAAAGCAAAAGACAGAGAGAAAAAAGAAAATATTGTAAGCCGAAGTGAAATGAAGTCTACGGTTTTGGAAGGAAACAGAAGAAACGATCACTTCCAAACCATATCAAGCTTAGATTATATGCCATAAATCTAACAAAGTGTAGCAACAAGGTTCAATTGGATAGCAAAAAAAGAACAAAAACCAAATATCTTTTCACAAAATAAGCTACAAAACAAACCCTTTTCGTTTTTATCATAACAAAACAAAATACAGAGAGAAAAAGAAAAGACTGCAAGCAGAAATGAAGTAAAATACATGGTTTGGAAGGAACAGAGCAAATGGTCACTTCCAAACCATATCAGGCTAGATTATATATCACAAACAAAACTATCAAAGTAAACCCCAACAAGGTTTATTTGGGTTATCAAAAACAAATAAAAGAGGGAAAAAAGGAGAGAAAGAAGGCAATTTGGAAATGGGCATTGGGTAGTGGAGAACAACATGAACATATTAATAATGCAGAGCAGCAGAGAGAGAGAGGTGAATGTCTCTTTAAGAAGGTAATGCCCAACAAAGAGAGATGGCTTGGCCACTAGTGGTGTGGTAGCATTGAAGAAGTTGCATTAAAATTTCCAACCACCTCACAACAAAGGAAGTTGGGAATATTAATTTAAAACCAGGTACAAGAATCGGAAAAAAAAAAGGTTCACGGACACAAATCTGGGGCTTTAAATGTGTGCATTTATGGATGATGGGGTAGGGGAAGAGAGATGTTCGTTCTGTTCAATCCGCATTTATGTTATATTTTATCAAACAGAGAGAACCTTTGTTTTGTTTTGGAGCTTTTGGTTTGGTTTGGTTATGTGTTGTACCTTTTACCATTACATCTCCCATCCCATGAACCTCTCTATCTATTAGCAACACTTCGTAGGTAATAGGTTGTGTGATTCAATTCAAACTCTTTCCCAACAAATGCATATTTTTTGAGTGTTTTCAAATGTTATTTGCCTGCAATTCTTTAGGAAAAAGGTATCTCTCTCCCTCTCCCTCTCCCTCTCTGCAATGCAATGTGTGCATTAATGAACTTCGTAGGCCAAACAAGGCAGAGCTGCCTAGACTCCTACTAGTCCTATACATATAAACGTGCCATACGTTTTGTTTAGGTGCAGACCTAATTCTAATTGTCAAATTGCCATCATTTGATCAAGGACTCTATGTCTATGGGCTTGGAAATGAGGCCCCAAAATTGTATAGGTGAGAGGTCAGAGATGGAAAAAAGTTGGGAAAGATGTATGGGCAAACTTTGCAAGGAAAGGACTTGCCAAAAGATTGATGAAGATGAGTTGCCCCTGTCAACTTTTTAAGATCCAGAAGCGCCACCCCAAAAAAAATAAAATAATAACAAATCAATATTGAGTGTAGACAATTTTGACAAAGTAATGATTTCTCTAACCCTGAAACTTCTTAATTAGCTTGGGGTTTGTTGCAATTTGCAAACAAGGATGAACATGAGTTGCAAACAAGGTTTTCTTTTGAAAACAAACCTTATAAAAAGATGATGATTTTAATTAAAAATTAAAGGTGTAAAATAATAACAAATCAATATTGAGTGTGGACAATTTTGACAAAGTAATGATTTCTCTAACCCTGAAACTTCTTAATTAGGTTGGGGTTTGTTGCAATTTGCAAACAAGTATGAACATGAGTTGCAAACAAGGTTTTCTTTTGAAAACAAACCTTATAAAAAGATGATGATTTTAATTAAAAATTAAAGGTGAAAAGATCAACATACCCGTTTAAGTAACTTCTGTAAATTCAATTCTATAACAATGTCTTTTGCGATCCACTTCTGCGATTCCGAAACCAGTCTGCCACAAATTGTTTGCATACCAGTATGCATCTCAATCTCAGATGTCTCATCCAACACTGCTTCTGTTTATGTTATGAAGATTTCTTAAGGCGGGGGGTTATATTTTGCATGTTTTATGTATCGAGTTGGTGACATTTGGGAGTGTGGATGACGTTGTGGAGTACTCTAGATGAGTATATGGGATTTGATAAAGATACAATGGAGGTTTTGTTGGGATGCAGTTGAGAGATATCACCGATTCCATCTCAAGGTGTCATTATATACTACATTCTATCTTAATGTGTCATTATAGATCACATTCCATCTTAACATGTAAATATATACCACATTCTATCTTAACGTGTCGGTATTTCTATCTTAACGTGTCATTTCACTTGACATTCCATCTTAACGTGTCATTACATATCACATTTCATCTTAACGTGTCATTACATATACCACATCCTATCTTAACGTGTCATTACATATCACATTTCATCTTAACGTGTCATTACATATACCACATCCTATCTTAACGTGTCTGTATATATAACATTTCATCTTAAAATGTTTGTATATAACACATTCAATCTTAACGTGTCACTTCACATCACATACCCATCTTAATGTGTCATTAACTCCACGTTTATACTTGACATAATAATAAGTTGGGTCTTTTTATATTCAATGATTGAGATTCAACCAATGTTAAAATCTCAATCTTTCATCAAATTTGAATTGATAACTAATTAATTACTTTCGTTTCATCGATTTTGAATGTTTCATTTAATGGATTTTATGTGCGTTGGAGCCTGTTGTGGAGTACTCTAAATGAGTACATGGGGTTTGATAAGATACATAGGTGAGGTGTGTCGATTGTGATGAGTTATGTTGTGGAATACCTAAGATTTTAATATTGAGATAGTGATGAGACGATTGACAAACCTACCCAACTCCATCTTGACCTGTCATTACACATCCCATTCCACATCGATAACTATAATATATAATGGGTGGCTCTCCTTTTATGATCACAATTAACTCTCGATCCAATCTCAAATTTTCATGAAATTTGCATTGATAATTTATTTATTTATTTATAGCATATTTGGTATGTTTCACTCTAACGAGTTTATCCCATTTTAGTGTCAATGACGTTGTGGAGTATTCTAGATGAGCACATGGGATTTATTAAAATGTGATTGAACATTAATATAAAGATGAGATGTGTCGTGTCATTTTAAGATAAATATATCTAACCCATCTCACCTTTGACGTATCATTGTGCATCACATTTCTTGAGATAATAGATATTGTCTTTTATACCATCAGGATTGGATGAGAATTGGTAAAGATGTCCAAGATTTTGTATTGATAACAAATTTGTGTAATTACTTTTGTTCCATATATATTTCTTGTAATGGGGTTATGCCATTTGAAGTGCGGATGAAGTTCTCGTAATGCGGCCGATTACTGATCCAATTGTAATGAGGTACTGGACCTGAATGAATTAGGCCCAATCAGTGACTCACCATATTTGTATTGGGCCAACAGTTTCCCCTTTTCTTTTCAAGAAAAATAATTAAAATTCCTTTTTGCCTTTAGGACACCAACTCCATCTTGACCTGTCATTACACATCCCATTCCACATCTATACCTATAATATAAAATAGGTGGCTCTCCTTTTATGATCACAATTAACTCTCGATCCAATCTCAAATTTTTCATGAAATTTGCATTGATAATTAATTAATTTATTTTTAGCATATTTGGTATGTTTCGCTCTAACGAGTTTATGCCATTTTAGTGTCAATGACGTTGTGGAGCATTCTAGATGAGCACATGGGATTTATTAAAATGTGATCAAACATTAATATAAAGATGAGATGTGTCGTGTCATTTTAAGATAAATATATCTAATCCATCTCACCTTGATGTATCATTGTGCATCACATTTAATATCTATTCTTGACATAATAGATAATGTCTTTTATACCATCAGGGGTTGGATGAGAGAATTGGTAAAGATGTCCAAGATTTTGTATTGATAACAAATTTGTGTAATTACTTTTGTTCCATATATATTTCTTGTAATGGGGTTATGCCATTTGAAGTGCGGATGAAGTTCTTGTAATGCGGCCGATTTCTGATCCAATTGTAATGAGGTACTGGACCTGAATGAATTAGGCCCAGTCAGTGACTCACCATATTTATATTGGGCCAACAGTTTTCCCTTTTCTTTTCAAGAAAAATAATTAAAATTCCTTTTTTCCTCTAGGACATTTAATACAATCAAATAAATATGTGAAGTTGATTGAAGGAATGATTGTCAAACAAAGTAGGGTAAATATTCAGTTATGCTAAGATACGCTCATATTCGCTCATATTATTATTCTTCTCCAATATAGAGGTATTTATACAAGTACAAAGATGTGTTAACCCTAAATAAAATAGGAAATATATCTAAATTACAATAGGAAGTAGATCTCTATTACAATATGACTAAATAATAATTGTTAAGTAACCAAAATTATAATGAAATAAGGAATCAAAATCTTAACTAAGTAAGGACTCGCCAACACTCCTCCTCAAGTTGGGCAAAGATATTTCGCACGCCCAACTTGACAAGCGAGTCACAGAACACCATACTTGAGAAGCACCAATTGTAGAGAAGGTCTTTTCGTCAACCACAAGTGAAACAAGTGACAACATAAACCAAAGTTTGCAGCAGAAACACAAAAGCAAACCCTAAAAAATAGGGCACATAACAGAACACAGAAACCATGTGAACACAGCAGCAGATAAGGCAGAACACAAAAGCCATATGAGCACGACAATAGATAAGGCAGAACACAGAAGCCCTGTGAGCACGGCAGAAGATAAGGCAGAAACCAAACCCTAAAAAATAGGGTAAGGCAAGGCAAACACACTAGTAAAGGCATGAGCAACAATACTGGCACCATAACAGGCAGGAGCAACAAGGCAGAGACATAACAGGCATCATCAACAGCAATACAAGGCATTGGCACCAGCAACAACAGAGACAACTTCTCTTCACTCCCCTTCTCCCCCCTGAAGAGAAGGGGTCGATGGAGCCATATGATCAATGGTACTTGAGAAACATGCACTGACTAACACTGAGATGTAGCAGAATAAGCCATGGCAGATAGGTGGTTAAATTGCAGCGGAATAGATGAGCAGCGGTGACAATAGCAAGGTAGGCAGCGATGACGGTAGCAAGGTAGACGGCGGCGGCGGCGGCAGACTAGGATTATAAGCTAGATGTATAGTGCAACGGAAATAGGTAGTCTCTAAGGTTAGGGTAGAGACAGATCAAAACACAGTAACATCATCGACAATGACCATAACAACGGCAACATCAACGGCAACAATAGCGGCAACGGTAACATCAACGACAGTAGTAGAGGTAACGGCAACGACAACAGCACGTATCATTGTGCATCACATTTCTTGAGATAATAGATATTGTCTTTTATACCATCAGGATTGGATGAGAATTGGTAAAGATGTCCAAGATTTTGTATTGATAACAAATTTGTGTAATTACTTTTGTTCCATATATATTTCTTGTAATGGGGTTATGCCATTTGAAGTGCGGATGAAGTTCTCGTAATGCGGCCGATTACTGATCCAATTGTAATGAGGTACTGGACCTGAATGAATTAGGCCCAATCAGTGACTCACCATATTTGTATTGGGCCAACAGTTTCCCCTTTTCTTTTCAAGAAAAATAATTAAAATTCCTTTTTGCCTTTAGGACATTTAATACAATCAAATAAATATGTGAAGTTGATTGAAGGAATGATCACATGTAGTATGTGAATTGGAGTAACGTAGATATTAATACATATTATGTTAAATTTCAGAGAGATGGGTCAGCGACCTACTATTAGCAATACCGATATTGCCCCCAATTTAACCACCTAAAAAACCTAGTAAATGTGAGATTTTATCACAAAAGGCCTCGGTATTATTAATAGTGAAACCATTTATTATATGATATATTTTTATTGTATCAAATTTCCGATGTGAGATTTTATTCTTCAACATATTATGCATACACGAGTTATGTTAATTGGTTATAAGTTATTTTATTTTGTTACGAGTGTTCGTCTTTTTGCAACCGTGTTTGATTCATCTCATCTCATGTATATATATAGTAATACTATTTTCATAAACCAAAGTTTGCAGCAGAAACACAAAAGCAAACCCTAAAAAATAGGGCACATAACAGAACACAGAAACCATGTGAACACAGCAGCAGATAAGGCAGAACACAAAAGCCATATGAGCACGACAATAGATAAGGCAGAACACAGAAGCCCTGTGAGCACGGCAGAAGATAAGGCAGAAACCAAACCCTAAAAAATAGGGTAAGGCA